TAGTTCTTGTTGCTTCCTTCCTTGAGACAGACAACTCTCTCTCCCCTCTACATGCTTTTGGCACATACCAGTTAGCCACATTTATGCCAGTTAGTCACATTTATGCCAGTTGGTCACATTTGTACCAGTTAGTCACATTTATGCCAGTTAGTCACATGTGTACCAGAAAAGTGCCTTCCACCAGCCATCCCTGAGCATGGACAAAAATGACCTGACTCTAGCAGGAACACTGGAAAACACAAGTACCAGCAACAATCTGAACTGACTGAGATGAACAGCTCTTGCTGAGCTGAACTGACATTTTTTGCACACTGCTGAAGAAGGGAAGGAAAAGAAGGAGGAGAAGGAAGAAGAGTTGATTGTTTCTAACACACCRTGCAACAGGAGGGAGGAGAAACACGGATATGAAGCACAGAGGAAATTTAAGRCACAAAACTGCTGGGATTGCATTACATGAGGCAGCTTCCATAAGCAAAACTAACAGATGGCAGGCTGGGACTGTGAAAGTTTTACTGACAGGCCAGAATCTCAGTGGATATAAGGATATGGAATTACCAAAGCAGAGAGAACATGAAATACAACCAATATTGGTGCAAGAATCACTCTTCTTTTAAATGCTGTAACCTCATAGTTTTTGGTGCAAGCTCTGTTTAGAACAGATGGTTTATATCCTATCTAATAAACCACGTGAAAAATGTGACTAAGCTTWCACGTTTAAAGTCTTATTTTAATATCAATTTATCCTGGTAGAAAACTTCGTTGTATGCAACTGTTTCAAAAAGAATGAACTTTARTCCCTGAAACACTGCAAGTGTTACTCAGGCAAGAAAAGCCAATGTGTTCTTAACTAGAAATAGCAGGTTGATCAGGGAGCATTTTCCTAATAACAGCTGYTGGCATTCAGGAAACATTTACCAGCAAGTATAGCTGGAAAGAAAATCTAACACATTTAATTATATGCAGACATCAATGAAGTATTTGCAATCTTGGTAGCAAAACACACATTTCATTGTTCTATGTGGGAGGGCATGTAACATTTTCAATCTGGTTACATCTATTTTCTGCATGGTTACTTATGAATCATTTTGCAAAAATAGCAGGAAGAGGTTGCAACATTTATATTGAAGGAAAAGTGCTTTTAAGCAGACAATTATTTAATTGGTAATAGGAAGAGTTTACTATAAGTTTAAACACTCAGTTTAAAGAGGAGACTGTTTAAGAAGTCTCATTACTAAGGGGGGAAGGATTCTGAGTTCTCAAATAGAGTAGGGGTTTATTAGAAACAAGAAAGCAGTGAATAACAGAAAAATACTGCTAGATCCTTGAATGGAAACTCCCCCACGATCACAAAGGCAGCTAAAGGCAGCTTTTTTCTGTCAAACCAAGACTATATATTAATATACATATATATATATATATATATATATATATATTTCAATCCACAAAATTTAGTAAAACAAGTGGAAAACTTCTTAGGCAGCCAGTCTATGAACAGAATAACCTTGAAATTCCCTCCTCAACACACAATTCCCTACAAATCCATGAGATTTGTCCAGGTAGAGGAATTGCTAAACGAGTTCATCACATAGCAACAGCAGCTTGCTGATACTACAGCTTCATATTCCAGAGAAAAAATAATAGATCAGTAAACCATGAAAAACATAAAGGAGGATAGCAAATATAATGTTTAGGTAAGAAAAAAAAAATCCAAAATACACTTTGTCCAAAAACAAATGACATCCAACTAAACATAATTCAAGCACGAGCTCTGGGAAACGTGCAGGAATGCCAAGAACCACACTGGCATAGCTCAGAGCAGCCCTGAATTCTGGGATTTGAAGAAACCAAGGAAAATGTCACCAAGCTGATCCCTTGTTTCCACTTCCTGCAGCCATCCCTAGAGAGAGGGCTGAGACTGCTTCTGAACAACCCCAGGAGCAAAAGCCTCATGCTTTTTTCTGTCCTAGAGAACAGTTTATTTATTTCTCTTTGCTGCTTTGTGCTTTATTTTTAAGCAAGGGCTGAAGATCACTGTGCCCACCCTCCACAAACCCCCTTGGGTGGAATGGTAGGATTATTTCTGCTTATTACTGGAGGTCTTTACCATTTACAGTTATTGCTTTTTCATTTCAACTAAAAGAGCTTAAAGCACTTGAGAACAATAAAAAGGCTCTAACTATGGAATTAGAAATAAATTTTTATTCTTAGTAGCATACCACCCACACCTGCAGAATGTCTCCTTCTTCCTATACCTTACTCCTGAAAGATTTTCTTTAATATCTGTTTAACTAGGGTATCAAAACACTGCAATTAAGGTAAGAAACAGATCATATGCAAGTTTAACATCAACTTTTTTCYACTTTAGAAAAGCAAGAACACACACAAAAATCTGCAACCAAGCTTTACTCCTACACAAGCTAAAAATTTGCTATTCTCTTAGTTAAAACTGTGATTATCCCTGAACTGAAATACAGTTACAGCAAGGATATATWTTATTTTTACCTGTTTATTCTCTGAACTTTGCATATTTGTTTACTTCTAACCAACCAAAGAAAACTTCAGCAGAAACTGCATAAGGTTATAGTGTAAAAGTGGATTATTTTCTAAACATTAATGACACAGATCATTAATAAAGCAGAAAAAGAAGTTGTGTTAATTTACATTTCCTAAAGACATAGTCAAATACTGGCCATTAGTAGTTTAAGAAAGAAAAATGGGATAGTRTCATCTACAAGAAAAAAAGAGAGAATTAAAGGGGAAATATATCACATRTATCAAATACAAATATCTGTGGACTTTTTTTTTTTTTAAGCAATGTTTATGATGCTATATTTTTCTTTTTTTTTTCTTCTACCTGACTATTACCACCTTCATTTTAAATATTTATCTTAGCATGTCACAGAAGTGGGGAATGGGGTTGGCTAATAACACTAGCACTTTCCTTATTCTTCAGTTATTTCTTTGTACCTAAGTTGATTAAATCTCAACTCAAAATGTGAACTACTAAGATACAGACAACCTGCCAACTCATCCTACTGCTCACATTTCCCACAGATAAAAAAATATTCATGCAGTTCTCTAGTATACTATAACTGTGGAATAAATATTCTGCAGAAAACAATGCTATTTTTGCATAAATATGATCTGGTTTACAAGTCCAAGTTGGCAACCTGTCAAATTACCTTCTGCAATTACCTGTCAAACACTTCTTTCAGGATATTTGCAGGTTATAACCTTAAAACTTCCCATCATTATTACTTATTTTTAATTTAATAATTTATTAATTATTATTATTATTTTTCATAGTTTTGCCACATATTCCAAGCAGCTGATGCACTGCACTCTTCTTGGCAGCAAWAAGTTCCTGTCAACTCCATAACTTCAGAATAAAATTATGATAGCTCAGAAAAYAAAATATCTACATAGACATCGTTAATGGATGCAAAAAAGGGAGAAATGCAGAAATAKATGCATTAGATCTTTCAGCAATTTTTCAGCATTTCTAGTAATCCTTGGATCAGAGTGCCCAAGAGATGGCATGGACTTCCTTCACTGTATTTTCTTGTTCAGMAGAATGCATTAGTTGCTCATGCATATGTACTAATCCTAATTTATYTTCTCCTATAAGGCAAGGCAGATTCCTAAGCAGAACTGATATTTATAAATGATTTTCAGGAAAAAATACCCCAAATCTCCCAGTTCTCAGATAACATATTAGCCCAAAACTAGAAGCAGGCAATGTCAACTGGAACAACTTCTGAAGAGCAAGAGCTTGCCACAAAATCATTAATTCTCTTGGAAGCTTTTATGATGCTTCTGGTGGAGTTTCTTCACTTATTTCTTMATTTACTCTTCTCTGCAGTCCAACTGAATTTACAGGAAGGCAATACATGTGTGTATTTGTGAATACTGCAGTTTTTTTCCAATATGTTACAGATGAAAATACAAGTAATTGTGTTAGGAACAGCATTTAAAAGGTGGACGTTAAATTACCTGGAAAATGCATGAACAATCCCACTCATCTTCCATGTCTAGTTTTAAGAAGATTCTAAGCTAGATTTTACGTACTGCTTAAACCCAGGTGTCTGCTAGAATTGTTGTCACCATTGTTTAYAAAGTCATGCAAAATACTCTAAGCTATGCAATTCCAGTTCTCTATTTGTAACAAAAATAATGAATTACATGATTGCTTAAAAGAGGGTTCTGATTCTCATGAAATGCCAAACCTTTGGGATTAAATGCTCTTGAACAATGCAGCCATTGGTTGGAATTGAGCCAAGCCATCCTTTAAATCCCTTTGCTTCTCAAATTGATTAAAACTGTAACWGAATCCTTTAATAGCAGTACAATTCAAATGGATGATCTGTCGGTGTTGCTACTTAGCAACAATAAAAAATAATTAACTTGAGAATGCCCAGATCATAACTTCAGCCCCTTCAGTCTCAGCACTGCAACCTCACTTTCTGGCTTCAAGGAGCTTGTTCAAGTGTCACAAGCTCCAGGAAATTTATGCCATTGGCTCTAGAACAGCTCATTTGGTTTGAATTCTGCCCAATTCAGCTACAGCAAGAGAGCCACAAGACTGAGGTTTGCTGGAGCTGTCACTCAATGTTCTCACAGAAGATCTCAACAACAATGATGACAAAGCCTAAAGCTTTGCTAACACATGAAGATGGCAAAAAAGTTCCAGAACTTTTAGTGTACCTTCATTTATTATTACCCTTCATTGCTTTTCTGGGATAAAGACACTGCTACAAACAGGTACAAGGGTGAGACAGGCTGAGCTCATTGAGCCTGTCTTAATTAGAAAATACATCTAATKCAGCTGATGATGGCAGGAATAAACAATTACAGCTCTGAAACAGTAGACTTGAATGATGTCATAGAATGGTTTGGCTTGGAAGGGACCTTAGAGATCATCCAGTTCCTATACCCCTGCCATAAGCAGGGATGCCACCCACTAGACCAGGTTGCCCCATTGAGCCTGGCCTTGAACACTGCCAGGGATGGGGCATCAACAACTTCTCTGGACAACCTCATCACCCTCACACTAAAGAATTTCTTCCTGATATCCAATCTAAAACTGCCCTCTTTCAGTTTTAAGCTGTTCTCCCTCGTCCTGTCACTAWGTGCACTTGTGAAAAGTCCCTCTCCAGCTCTCCTGTAGCTCCCTTTAGGTACTGRAATGCTGCTTACAAGGTCTCCCTGGAGCCTTCTCTTCTCCAGGCTGAACTACCCCAACTCATTTGGCCCATCTTCACAGCAGAGGTGCTCCAGCCCTCAGATCATCTTCATGATCTCCTCTGGACTCATTCCAACAGATCTATACCCTCCTTATGGGGCCTCAGAGCTGGAGGCAGCACCACAGGCACAGTTCACAAGAGTGGAATCATCTCCCTCAACCTGCTTTGGAAGCAGCCCAGGATATGGCTGGCTATGAYAAAATGCTATATTCTATAGAGCATGTTGATTAGAAAACTGATGGATATTATTAAGCCCTGCTTAAAGTGTGATTTAAAAGTATGTCTGTGGAATCACTGGAATAACAGAACACAAAYTGGCAGATATACCACTCTGTTCAACCCGCTCTTCCAACACCTTTTTACAAAAACAAGGAACAAAAAAAACTCTTAAACATCCCAAAAGCTACAGAAGCTGGCAAGGTAAGATTATCCTCTGGCAACATGCAAATAAATAAGAGCATGACACAGTCAAAGGTTTCCTAAGGTACTTTACCACATCTTATATTTTAAGAAGTCTAGCAGGTCTTTGGATACAAGAGGTATGAGCCTTGGGGACACTGAAGATTACAAATGTTTGGAACAGAGAGAGAGGGAAAGGAAATACCTAAAATGCAACAGCAAGCTATTCTAAGCTATTCTAAGCTATATAACACCCAGTGCTTGCACAGGTAACCCTTGGCTGCTGYGACACAAAATTAGTTCTTAAAATTACAGACATTATTAAAAATCTAMACTGTATTTCTAAGTAGTCATCCCAAAAAATGCTCTTTCCATGACTTTCTTTCCACTGGGCTGCTCAAAAAAGTATCACATTATAGCTGTTTCAGCTGTAACAGTCCCAGGGATTTCTATCCTCAACTCTCCCCTTTTTCTGCAACCTCTTCCCTATTGCTCAGCAGCCTCCTAAAACCCTGCTGCTTTAATTATCATCTCAGTGCGGATGAGTCACAGATCTCTCATCCCTTCTGTTCACATTCACAGCTCAGAATCTCCTTCTGGATATTTGCCACCAGCCCTAACACAGTGTGCTGAAAAGCTGAAATCACGTTTCTTCCCAAACGYTCCCCATCCCCTCTTTCTTTCCCTATCTCTGTCAACAGCTCCACCACCTTATGTCCCACAAGCTCACAACCTGGGTGCCATTTTCAACTCCTCTTCGCTTCCCACACAAATCCTGTCGATTTTATTCCCACTGTCGTTCAGAAATATTTGCCTTCTTTTCACTCATGCTACAGTTATTCAAATCCTGCAGTTTTTTGCTGCTGGGTCTGAGGCATCTTCAGTTTATTATCCAGGACTCATCAGAACCTGCAGCATTTCCCCACTGGAAATGTGCACATGAACTGAGAGAAATGGGAAAAAGCAGAATGATGAGCAGTCAACACACTGAGAGGAAAAAAAAAATTTCTATTGAGAAATACAATGCAAGCTACTMAATAATTGCTACAAAAAGGACATTACTTATGCAACCTACACATGTTTCTAGAAGTCTAGAGCCTTTTCCTGAAAATGCAATAAACCTGCAGTACTCTAAGTTCATAACCCTTGTGTACAAACTAATAGCAATTACCCAGCTTACTGAGTACAAAGAATTGCTTTAATTTTATTTAAACAATCTGTGTGGAGTGGCACCTATCACCATAGTAACAGAATACTTCATGTASAAATTTAATACAACTTACATAAATCACCCACAGATCAAGGAACTACTGGGAAAAATTGCTTGCTGGATTAAGAGACATGCAGAGGGTACACTAAGCTCTTTTATTCTATCTTTCTGAAGTAATTTTCCATTTCCAATTATTTCTCCCCTCCTTTTCTCTACAAGACATCATGTTGCTTTCCTTAGGGATCTGGTCAGAYATTAATTCTTTGCATGTAGAGAGTTACACCTATTCCTTGTTTCTAAAATGAGCCACCACTCTGTCAGAAACCACAGTCAGTAATTCAGCACCAACTAAATTCACTGATTCTTGTTCATATATCCTGCAGAATTTAAGTGCTTACATGGTCTAAGTTGAATTTCAGCTCCTCAGATGATTTCTCTATTTGGTAAAAAAAAAATAAAATCCACTGAAACTAT